CTGAGATGTGCAGAGGAAGGTGGGCTGAGATGTGCAGAGGAAGGTGGCCTCTCACAAAGAGGAAGGCAAACCAGCTGCTGCCAAAGCAGTGAGCACAAAGGACATCATCCAAAACAATGAAGTGAGAGCATACAAATCTTAAAACTAAGCTTTCTTCTTTGATTACTAAAAATAAAGGAACTTGAACTCTTGGTTTAATGTTTTAAGTGTTGTGGGTTTTTTTTTTTAATTCTTTGAGTTAGTTAAAGTGTGGAATGATTCGTAGAATAGCTTAATTAGACCCGAGCTTCAGTGGGAGTCCCCTTTACCATGTCTACAGAGGCTCTTCAAATACTCTGATCCACTTCTGAATAAAAGGTGAAACCAGGGATGACTTTCAAAGGAGAAACTACAAAGAGCATTTATCTTTCTCTTTGTACTTTTCTGTCCTTGCGATCTTGATATCAAACTTCCATTGCATTCTAAGGATGACTTTTTTCCCCAGGTTAGCTCTCACAAATATATCTTTTTATATACCATAATTTAAAACTTAAAAAAAACCTTTCAAAGTGAAAAATCCATGGCTAAACCACTCTCAAACTGGTATTCTAGCATTACTGGAATAAATGGATCCTTTTGCCCAGAGTGTTTTGTTTCAGCTCTGAACAATTTTTTTTAATTTTAGATCATCCCGTTATCATTTGTCTTCTGCTTTATCTGGTGCTGATATTCCAGCTGGGGTGGGAAATCCTGATGTGGAACCAATCCTTTGTAAATCAGTTCCTGTTCTCTTCCCTGACCCTCTCCTTTCTAAATTGCCACTGCTCTGAGGCAGGTCCGTGGTGGTAAAAGAAGTCTTCCCTCTTTTAGGAAAATTGATGTCCTAGGCTGGTCCTCTGGGAATGGTATCTCTCTTGTGGGCCACAACACTTTCCAAAAGCCATCCTCAACCACGGAATGTGACACATGGTAGTAAAATGGGAAGTGGAAGTATGCCCTCTGAGGTCTATTTTTAAACTGATGTGACTATACTGTGTCTCAAAATAAAAAAAAATAAAAGAACAAAACCAAACACAGACAGAGCTGGGTTCAACAAAAGGGAGCCCAAAAGAGTTGAAAATGTTGTAGTCTGACAAAGGAAACCAAGATCATGATGTTATATTTATGTTGAACTGAATTACATTTACTTTCTTTAGACATGTGAAATCTGTCTGCAACATCTGTTAGAACAGAGTTAATAAGCTAAAGAAATGCTTGTAATGTCTAACTGCTATTGATTCACTTTTCCTGAGGTAGGAATTGCTTACAGACTTTCAGCACTGCTCTGAAAACATCAGGATGGCAGCAGGATGGTTGGGGGTTTTTTTGACTATGCAACACAGTTCAGTGTGAGCAATGTCCTCTGATCATTGTTCTTCAAACCATCATCTTTGTACTGAGATTTCTTAAAAAAATACATTTTTTTCATGGGAAGAAAATAAAGGTAGCTTAATTAAAATGATTAAAGAAAAACAAGGATGGGGGAATCAAGAGTGAGAGCACTCCAAGTGAATTAAGCTCTTGGTGTTTGACCATTATACTCCTTTATCATGCTCATTCCTTCTTTACCCATGACACTCATGCTCAGCAGGTTACATTGGAAAATATATGTTTCTATCTTTAATGATATTTTGGAACTGGCTCTTTGCTCTCTGAAGACTTTTGGGCACTTAGATATAATACTCAAAATGTTATTTACCTATTCATACCAGTGATGTGGCTACTGGGTCGTGTGTATTTTGTTTTGTTTTGTTTATTTGTTGTTGTTTAAGCATAGCAGAGAGGCATACACTCTTCAAACAGGAGCCTGTGAACTGAAATTATCATATAAAAGCTAAGCACCAATAATAGATATTTGTTACAACGTGAAATGTAGGCTCAAAAGAAATGGGTTAAATGAGGAGAGGATAGTAGGTTTATTTTTTCCTGGTGGCATAAAGCTTTTATGTTAACAAGAAAAGTGTTTTAGGCAAGTAGACAGTGTACTGAAGAAAATGAATAGGACAAAAGAACAGCAGCGTGCATATTTCAAATCTGTAACATCTTGGGCTCCCATAGAGGGCAATATTGTATAAAAGATAGTTTAAAGCCATGTATCAGGGGCTGCCAATCCATCTGTGTGGATGTACTTTAAGGAAAACTGCTGTTACTATAAATTTGATGCCACATTTCCCTTCAGTCAGGCTGTGACTAATGTACACCCAGCCACAGAACAGCACCTCCTTAAAGGTGAAGGAAATTAATTTTGTAGATTACCCAGTAGTAAATTGTAGGGGGGAAAACATCACATTTTGGTTTACAATGCTCTGTTCAGCCACTGAGTCACAGCAAGGGCTCTCCTTTAAAGTTGGCTCAAAAACTGATAAGAAAAAGGACCAAGTCTGTGGTGGCAGTCCTGGGAACAGGGTTTGTGGTGGGATGTGTCTGGGGTACAGTGAAATCACCTGCATTTCTGATTCTGTCTGGTATTTCTTTCCTGTGGAATGCATGGGTGGACTTATCATAATGCTGTTATTTACTTCTGTGCTTCTCTGGGTTTGATGTGTTGTCAGCACACGGCTCTGGACTTCAGTCTCTCTCAGCCTCCTGGGTCTTTGGAGCATGGAAAGGTCCATGCTCCTTTAAAGTAACCTCATATACTAAATTTCTCTCCTGTATTTATTCACCTGCTTTGTGAGCACTGCTGCAGAGTTGCATCAGAATAAACTGTTCACATTGTCTGTGCTGGACATGAATGAGGGTACAGAGGTCTAAGTTTATCTGGAGTGACTGGAAAGTTCCCCTTTTGGAGGAGTGGGAGCCTCATAGTTACATATCTACAATTAAAAAGTATTAGTGTCCCCAGTGTTTCAGGCAATGACAATTATTTACAGATATCCTTGAGTAAATCAGCTGGATTGGAGGGGAGTGATTAAGTCTCAGGAGATAAATCCCCAGATTTTGACTGACATTTCCCCTGATTTACCTCGCCTAAGTTGTGTAAGTACAGTGATGGTTAAATTTATTTCTTCTTAATCTCTGTTCCAGCAGTGGCACTAATGACAAGCCCCACTGCAAATGCTGTACTCATCCCCAGAGTTCAGTCAGTGAGGCACTACTTGTTTCACTGTTTACCAACAGAAGTGGTCCAGGGAGACTTACAGTAGTTTCTCATTGCTGTCATCTTGGAAATCTTCATGGAGCAGGAAAGAAAAGCAACCAACAGGAACAGAAACAGTTGTTCTGCCCATTGCATATGTTGCACTGCCCCTGTAGGGATGAGAATCCTCTTTCCATCTGTCAAAGAATCATAGCAGAACAAAGGAGGACAGCAAGGGTATTTTAGGTATCTGTGGTATGATCTCACTGGATGCCAGAACTCACTGGGGATGGACAGGAGGCGCAGGATAAATCCAGATTGTTGTGTGAGAAGTGACTGCAATGAGGTAAAGATAGTGACTCTGCAGTCCAAAAATACCTTTCTTTTGGAATGAGAGATGCCAAGGTTACTCCTGGTCCCAACAGCTGGCTTGGAAACAGCTCAGGGGTAACAGTGAGTAGTGAAATAACAAAAATAAATCTTTATCCAGAACTTCAATATGGGCTTTCAAATATTTTTGGCATATAAATGATTTGGGGTTGTTTGTTTGTTTGTTTGTTTTAATCTGAATTAAATTTTCGATCCAGGTCTCGTACCTGAAGCCTGGTCCCCACCTGGGGGTCCAGATGCAGCCTTAGGGGCTCTCCTGTTGCTGCTGTGGAAGCGTGTGCTGGCAGCCAGCACCTCCTCTCTGGAGCCATATGTCTCATTTTCTGCTCTCCACTGCTTCAGGAATCTGGAAAGAACAGGAAAGAGCAGGTTGTGGCTGTCTGTGCTAGTCAGGCTCCAAAAATAGGCAGATTCAATGAAAGAGAAGAATGATAGGGAAGTGCAGTTAATGGAAGGGTCTCTGCTCTGTAAATGACAATTTTCAGCTCTTAGCTAATATGATATTTGGCAGAGAGTGTTTTTCTGCACTTCTGGGGAGTTCACATCTCATTAATTTGCACGTTCAGTGCTTATTTAAAAGTGAGTTAATGACACTTTGTTGCACTTTGTATCCATCAATTTATATTATCCTTATTTAAAATAGCAATGAAGTATTTATGAATAACCATTTCTTAGATTTGAATATTTATGTTCTCAATAAACAGTGTTTAACACTGGTTAAATAATTGAACATTTCCAGCTTCTGTAAACACAGGAGGGAAAATAAATATTTCTGAACAACCCTCTGTATTGGTAAATAGAAGAATACATACATTAGATCCAAAGGAACAATTAAAAGTGAACTCTGATAAATTTATTGGAGGCTTTCCAGAATGACATGTTTTCTCTGGTCACACAGACTACTCAAAGGCAGGATGAGAAAGAAGGGAGCTTAATATTTGCTTTGCAAGTATAATTTCTGTTCTATTTAGGGCTAAATTGAGGCCTGACATTTCAAATGTTGTGTCACTACCAGAATTTCATCCAACTGCGCTGGATTCAGACGTGGTGTTGACAGACATACACATGGCCACTGGGCAACTGGAACCTCCAGCATTTAGTCAAAGAACTTCCTAATGTATGAAATCTCTCCCTTTCCTTCCTCCTTGTTTATTTACTCCTTATTTGCTAAATGAGGCAAGAATCAAGAAGTCCATTTTTTCCTGTCTCACGTTCTACTTTAATGGACTGGATGAACCTTTCCCTTCCTACTTTAGACTGGGATGTAGTCACCATCTGATCCTCTTTCCTTTCTCCATCTTCTGACTGTAGTCTGGAAAATGTAATGATCAATGAGAAAAGACTGTATTCACACATTCCCTTTTTTTGACAGAATGTAGATTTTAGTAAATTCCAGCTAATCAAAGCATATGTATTTTCAAGACTTAATTGGAAAAGTAAATTAATCTTGCAATAGGAAACTCCAGCTCTAACTATAGAACAGCTACTGCCTCTAACACACTTGTCAAAAACCATGAACGCGTTTTTAATAATATATTATTCAATAATCAATACCTCTCCAACACAGCTGTTCTTTGTACTGTTGTTATTTTACTGCTAATAAGTCATCAGTAATGACACTGCAATGCAAAATGTACAGGGAAAATGAAGATGTGTCAATAGCACCTACTGAAAAATTATGTAAGCCATAAATAAGAGCACTAATTATGGCAGTGGAGCTGCCTTCCCTCAGGTAGGAAGGAGGTGTGGGGTGGGGATATCAGTGTGTGCTTCAGAGCTCTGCTCTGCAGAACTGCAGCCCATTTGCATAGCTCTGGGGTTTGGAGAATCCCTCTGTAACCTGGACCTAAGAATTTTAGGTCCATTGTAAAGCTCCGTAATTTCAAAGGCTTTGCACCGGTTGGTGTGAGGAATTATAATGGTACTTCTTGAACAACTGAAAACTAAAGTTTAGCTTAGTCATGCAAAAGATGAACTGAAGGTACAAGTTTAGAGGTTTCATTTCTAAGTGGCTGCTGCTTCACAGGGATGGGGCAAAAACCTCTTCAAGAACTTCTTGTTTTGACTTGCTTTCTACGGAAATCGGGTATGGAAAAAGTGGAGAGGAAGCATAATATTTGCATTTAGGGTATAAGAATAGGGAATTATTTTCATCCTGCACAAGTCCTGCAGCTCTACCCGTGCTGGCACAGGGGGCCCTGGGGGTGTGATCACCCCAGGGTGGCCCTGAGCACCCCTGGCCCCAGCTGGGCCCTGCAGGCGGTGGGGAATTGTGGAATTGCAGGGGGTCAAGTGCGGCAGCTGTCAGCTCTTCAACTCTCCTCCACAGCGCTGGGGCTGGAAGCTCTCCAGCTCCCAGATAAACTCAGCCATCACACCAACATTCAGGAGCTCTGCTCACTCATTTCCTGCCTTTTCATCCCCATCTTTGCCTTTCAGAGGCACCACAATACTTCTGACAGGGATCCAGATTCCAGGGATGAGTCTCTTCCACCTGGCGCGTTCCCACATTAACAGGGAGGGCACACAATTGCAAAATGGTGTATTTGGGACTATTTTTTAGAGGTCTAGGTGTATGTTTGGGAGGCTGACTGCTTGGAAGGGAGAATTGATCAGATTTATGTGGGTTTTCATCCAAAGTTCACTTCTCATTAACTGCAGTGTGGAGATACTGAGATTCCTGTTGGGTAGAAATCATTTCACTTTGGGATAAATCAAATTTTGAGGGTGTGCTTGGTGTGATATACTTTCTGTGACTCTAAGACCTTCTGTATCTCTTGCAATTACTATACTGACAGGACAAATTATCTTACTTAAAAATATAATGGAGAAGGCAAAAGGATTCAAGATAAACTTTTTTTGAGTCTTCTAGTTAAAAAGTCTTCATTGATTATTATCCCTTGCCTTTCTTGTTATGTGGCTACACAGGCATGTGGAGATGTTACTAGCAGGAGATGCTATTTAAGTCAGCATTTCACACCCACTTTTCCAGACACCAAGACCTTTAAAAACAAAGATGCAAATCCAAGATGAGTCAAGTCCTTAAACTCAAGGCAGGTAAACAGAAAAAGTCAACAACATGCCAGAACATTGAACTCTCAGTCCCTCGGCTGTTCTGACAAAATCCACATTATTGTGCAGACAGGGCAGAAAGCCTCAAAACTGATTTAAGAAAATCACAGTAGTGATTGTTTGGATTTATTTGATTTTCCTGAGTCAGCAGGAAAAAGTAGGTTTATTCTTGTATCCATTGTGGGAACCAATTCTGTTGCATACCAAAAAAACTCACCTTCCATTTCAAGGATATGGAATTTAATTTAGTTTTTAAATTAATTCCTCACCATTCAAAATTCAGTTTTCTGTTTGTCCATGGCCAAAGAATATTCACAGGAAACAGGTTTATTTTGTTGTACTTCAGTAATGCCATACAGCTTCTGTTCTCTCAGCAAAGTCAGCTGAAATAGAAACAGGTGTTTCAGACCCAGCAAGAAGATATGAATATGAAAGCTCTGCTATTAGAAAGCAAAAAGCTCATTTTCTCAGTGTTTAAACTTACTTTCTCATGGTTGCTATGGTACCATCTCTGCACCTAATTTATGGAGCTTTGAACTATATTAAAAAAAAAAAGGCTTTTTGAAAAAAAACAGGCCTGAACTCAACTTGAAACCCATGCGAGACCATCCAGTCAAGTTTTTATAGTGGATAAAAACTGGATATTTAACAATATTTAAATTGTTCAGCCAAAGGAAACAGCGAGCCATTTCCTCAGGACATACTGGACCTTTTTTGTTTTTCCAACCCTTTTTACATGCAATATCTTTTACTAAGCTTATACCACCAGCATTAACATTATTTGTTTCAGGAATAAGCAAGTTGCAGCTACTGATAACAATAATAGCTGTTATACTCTTTAATATACATGAAAAACAGATCAAACTCTCGGTAAAATAATATTTGCATAATAGGAAAAGCCAGCCTACATTCAGATGATGTATCACAAGAGTGCTGGGCAAGTACTCTGGTATTCAGAAAGCAGAAAGCTAATACAGGCAAATGGTCTAAAGAGATTCAAAAGCTTTAATAAGCATATTAGTGAGATAAGAAATATGGGGAAGAAAGAGATCTAAATACAGAAAACATGAAGTATTATTATGCAGTGCCTAATGGCAAAGAGGTGGACAGGATCACCCCTTCTCTGACTTATTTCATCTCAAGAGTGATTGTTTCTGTGAAGTGGAAATAAATAAAATTGCATACTGATAGATCCACCTCACTGCTCTCAAAGCATCTTAAAAGAATCATTCCTCATGGAGGAATATTAGCCTTGCTGAAAATCCTTTCTCTCTTTCCTGCAGCTTTTGCACACCTGTGTGCATACACACATGCCTGCACTTGGGACGGATAATTCCTCTTTATGGCTTCGGAGGTCTCCCATGTGATTCCTCGGTTTGGCTATTTATCATGTGGCTGTCACTTCCATGCCTCCATACTGAAGCAATAAGGAAGGGATGCACTTGCTTATAAGTATAACTAAGGTGACAGTAAAGATGGGAAGGAATTATTGAGTATTTAAAAGGTGCAATGGGCCGAAACCAGAAGAAAGAAAATTCTTTTTATGCGTTAGGAGAAAAAGGCATTCCTAAGGGAAGGTCAGTCTCATAGTGGAATAACTTAGCTAAAGAAAGTCCACCATAACTATAGAGGTGATGTGAATATCAGATATGGTGTGTGAGGAAACAGAAAGGTATAGAAAAAGAAAGCTGTAGTAAATATATTGTAGAAAATGTTAATGCACTGCTGAGCAGCCAGAGGGGAGAGCCCAGAATTCCTTCCCCATACTTGTGCTGTTTAACATTCTGCTCCTGTGACACCAGCAGCTGTTAATGGCAAGGGGAAGGGAGGCAGAACAAGATGATCTAGGAGGCCCCTTCCAGCTTTAACATCCCTGGGATTCATTTGGCTCCCTCTTGGCACAGGAGTGAACTCACCCTACTCTGATTTATACATCCAAAGTTTGTATTTTAATACTCTTGCATGGAGGGGAAAGATATTACAGCCTGACAGGAACTTTAAAAAGTTCCTTGCCATGTGAAGAAGTGCATTCTTGCCTTTGTCACCAGGGATTGCTTATTTTCTGCCCACTGGCCACAAGTGCATTAAAGGCTCAGTGGTGGTAACACCAGCAATAAATAATTATCCTAAGCTGCAATATATGCTGTGCAAAGACTTTTAGCCATCATAAAGATTACTTTCTGTACTGTCAGATTTCCGTGCTGTGGAATTACCAGGATTTATTTTACTGAAAAGAAAAAGCTGTCTGCTGATAAGATCACATATCAAAAATAT